AAGCAAAGTTGAAAGAGATTGAGAGAGAGGGAGGGAGGGAGGGAGGGAGGGAGAGAGAGAGAGAGAGAGAGAGAGAGAGAGAGAGAGAGAGAGAGAGAGAATAAATATAAATGTCCACTCCCCTACATTTCAGGTTTCCTAAATATAACAAGCATAATTTGCAGTAATATATCTATTTAGAAGTTGAAAAATGCATGCAAAAAAATTCTGCTCAGATGACTGGCATCTGGTCCCAGATTTTATTTAAAACTGTAATATTTGAAACTTTCGTTTAGAATTACAACTGCTTCCTACATATGCACATTTGAGTAATGCCATTTCCCAACTATATGTTTTTTTAGCTTACTTCCCTTTTACAGCGGAACCCTCTACTCCCAATGTAAGTCCTTTTTTTCGCACCCTCTTTATTTAAAAAAAGGCTTTTGGTTCCCTTTTTTTTCTTTTGCTCACCCCGCACTCGGCTCCATGCTGTCTTCCGTTGCTAAGCAACGCTATCAACAGTCCTCGGGCTTCCTTTTCCTCGCTGCCCCGCCCTGACTTCTTCTCGGATGATGCCAATTAAGAAAAAGGGGGTGGGTGCAAATCTGGACAGAACCATTTCTCAACATTGCTTTCAGTGACAAAGCCGCAGCGTTGTTTCTCAACCTTAGCTGTTCCCAGGCTAAGTATGTGTACTTCAAGTCCCAGAATTCCACAGCCAGCAGAGCTTAATGAATGAAGACTGGGAATTAAAGTCCACGTATATGGAAAACTCCAATGCTGGGAAGCAACTCCTAGACAAAGCGTAGAGGGTGAAGATTGAGGTTCCTTGAAACAAACATAGAGTTAGGAAAGGCTAGACTCATTCATGGTTATAACAAGCAAAAGCTTTTTATTGGCTTGTTGAGGAAGCAAATAACTTTACGTGACTCTAATTCGTTTCCCCCCCATGTTGAGAGAATAAAGGTTCAGCGTAACTCTCGCGATGTTACAATAGTCGTAAGTCTCTTCAGAACCATTATTATCCGCATTTTCTTGAAATTTGGCGGGAAAGAGGTATTTGGCGTAATGATGGAGAAGTCTCGCTTACAGTCGCCGCCGGTTAAGGTCCTGGCTGCGCAGCTGAAGCGGTGCCGCCAAGTCCCTGGTGGCTCGTGGTTGTTGGACCGGGAAGAGTACGGACGTCCGGCGTTACCCGTGTCTCTGGTCTGGATGCAGGGCAAAGTATTGACGGTAGAGCAAGATGGTTCGACTGTGAGGTTGCTGGACGAGAGCGGCTCTTTTGTGGTCTCCGGCATGGAGAGAGTCCCTAAGGGAAAACCTTGCCTCAGCCCTGGAAATTATGTGATGGTGATGGGCTTGGTGCAGGTTTGCATCCCAGAGCCTGTCCTTCAAGCCGTGAAGATGACGGGTCTTTCAGACAATCCCCTGCACAGGACTATGTGGGAGTTGGAAGTGGAAGATTTGCAGCGAAGCCTCCTCTCGTGAATGAAGCTGGCATGCCAAAATGGAATCATTTCCTGCACGCCTCGCAGTAACAAACCAGATGGGATGGAAATGCGTGGATTATTTCCCCACTGGATTAGTTTGTGCAAATAAATCTTTTATACTTGAGGCACATGGATTGTTGCAAAGATAAAACATCTATATTGAGTATATTCATTGCCCCATTGTGTAGAGTGCTCTTCTTTCTTCAGACTGGACTTCCATTAAAGGAGTACTGTGCTAAAAAACATCTGACTTCAGACATTACCATTTAACATATGCAAAGACTTTGAAAATAATGATTGTATCTACCATTTACAATTATAGGATAAAGCAGTTTTGATAACAATGGATAATGTTAATTTGAAGGCTTGTTTTTAATGCATAATGTAAATGCTTCAAGTCAGAGATGGAGAACATCCCCTCAATGTAGCAATAGTTCAGAGAAACAATTAGATGAAAAGGTTATACTATATCACAATAAAATCTGCATATATTACTGGAGTGTCTGGTTTAATGTTCTTGAATAGTGAATAACTAGACTCTTGATGACACATTTAATGGAAATGAAATATATTTCATGCATTATTTTTAAAAAGTTTGCTTTGAAATCTTCAATGGTGGAATTGTCCTGAAGTTTGAAAATAGCTACAGTGCCTCATACATTTTAGATTTTTGCCTTCCAGCATGTTATTTTGATAATCTGAAAAGTGCAAAAAGCACCTAGCACTCCTGGTATAGTATAAAAATGTATTATGCTTTGTCCAGCTATTAATCTAGTATTCTCTTTTGCTAGTTAGAGTTATATTTAGTGTTTTAATTCAAGATAATATAGATTTTGTGGAATTTCTTTGATTTCACTTTTTCAAAATAATAGTGAATATAAACTTAAAAACTTATAAATTCTTGGATGTTTGACATATGCAATTCTAGAATGTGGTTCTTGTTCTAATCATTTAGATATAAATTTGCAAGTCAAGATTACCGATAAATAATGGAATAGTGTTCATTCTCATATCTCAATAAGTATGGCATGAAAATTGCCAACCTATACATGAAAGATGTGGAGAAGAAAACACTCAGCTCCTTCTATGGGATGGCACCACCCCACTGGTTCAAGTATATGGATGACACCTGGGCAAAACAAATCAAGGTTCAGGAAGTACAGGCCTTCACAGACCATATAAATACTGTCCAAATATCAAGTTCAAGGAAGACACCAAGGACAACAAACTCGCATCCCTTGACTGAAGTTCTGATTAGAATCTGCTAACCTAGAAATAGAGATCTGCAGAAAACCCACACCCAAAGACCAATACCTGCTGTTTTACTCCCACCATCCACTTCAACACAAGCTAAGAGTCATCAGGACACTATCAGGGCAGAAAACATCCCCATATCCAAGAATGTCCAAGAGAAGAAAAACAGATATCTAAGGACAGCTCTTAATGCTTTGATATCAAATTGCGTCTTTATTAAATCAGCATCTGGATCCAAAAAAAGAATGGCAGACAGAGCTGAGACTAAGAGTCAACAGGTAATTCCTTATATGGCTAGTGTATCAGAGAAGCTAAAACGTATTCGGGGGGAAAAAAACATACTTGTGTTCAAACCACAACACACAGACAGAGGCTTGTTTACCCTAAAGATTAGACATCAAAACATACAAAGAGTAATGTATATGCAGTCCAGTGCAATGAGTGTTCAGAGTTCTATATTGGAGAAACCAAGCAGCTTTTACATAAGAGGATGGCCCAGCATAGGAGAATCAACACCATAAAACCAGAATCAGCAATATACTTTATTTAAAAGAAAAAGGACACTCTTTGGAGGACAAAAACATTCACATTCTGGACAGGAAGATAGATGGCTTGAGAAAGCAGTGAAGGAATCCATTTATGTCAAAGTGGAAAATTCTTCCCTTAATAAAGGTGGAGGCCTCAGACACGTGTCTCCCATTTTTTAATGCTGTTCTTGCATCAGTCCCCAGGGAGATTAAAATGACAGGTTCACCAGGAAGGCCACACTTAATGACCCACTTAGGTAAAGGATTTAGGAGTTGGAGCATTTACATTCCAACAAATCTGCCTATTCACCTAAGGAGCCTATTCAAATATGTGAGAAATGAAATCTCTCTGGAGGACATGTATGGGATCCCCCTAACCAACTTGATCGGACTGAAGAAGCTATTTGAATAAACAGCTAAACATTTCGAACTAAAAAGAAATAGACAGTTGCCATGACTTATCTTCCAGACATCATGTTTCACGAAGTTACCTCCAAGGTGCCCACCGTAGAGAAACATTTTATTCATCTTACGAAGTTCTATTTTCAAAATATTTATAGTGGTTTTTGTCTCCCCAAAACAAATCTTGCCAAATAATCTACAATTTCTGGTTGGTGAGGTTTCACTGGCCCTTTGAAACATGTGTGCTGCCACTTTGCTCTGATCACTAGATATTGCCTTCCTTGGTCATTTTGGCCTAGATTGCAGGAGAAACTCTATGTATCTAAAAGCACCCTGGATGCAGGATGTTTCAAAACGCATCCTTCGGGTATTATGCAAGTTCCTTCTATTCTTGAATTAGCATTCTTTTGAAAAAGTTCTAGACCTGTATACAGGATTTTAGTTTTTCGACAGCACTGCCAAGAAAAAGACGGGTTCTGTCAGATGTTTGCTTTAGATGTTATTCAGTCTTCTGCCAACAACATGGCTGGACTCTATACTTTGGGAGAGGGGGGTTAGTGCCATTTTGCAACTTGAAATTCATCCATGCATGTCACTTGAGCCATTTGAAATGTGGCCAAAGCTTTTATCTCAAGTGCCCACCCACAGCTGCCAAGACTACCCCACCATGTGTTAAAAACAGCAGCTGGTGTTTAGGTGGCAGGCAATGATAGGTGGGAGGGAATAAAATTAATAAAAACTGTTAAGATGCCTTCATTTCTCAGCCTCATTCATAAGTAGGGTTATGACATCAGCATTTTACTTAAGGCCTGCATATTTTGCTGCCAATTCAAGGACTGGAAGAATGCACATTGATATGGACTAAGTGAATATTGCTGTTATACAGTTTACTGGCAGCATAATATGTGAAGAATTGCAGTCTAATATCTTTGGACAGGCCACTTTATTACTTTTGAGAGACCTCTTAAATAGTTATGTTGAAGCTAGCAGATTGAGCTTGATGGATGGACATCTAGATCTGATTCAATGCCGTATTCACACATTTAACTGATTACTAAAGTCTTGTTTTGGGTTCATGCAATATATAATCACAGACTAACTCAACAGGGTGATTCACACAAATTACAAAAAAAACTGCAGTTACAGTATTATTAGCATGTTGCATGAAGGTGTCTGTTGAAGACAGCTAGTACAATATTAAACAAAGCCTTATCTTCCCATATCCAAAGTAGGGATAAGATTCAAGAAAGAGTAGCAACACGTTAATTATTTATGAGCAATGCAGCTACAATAATTCCAAATGTACAAATGTTATTTGTTTTAGCAAAAGCTTGGAATGTGAATTGACACTGGACAATATTTGAAGTATTGTATGCTGTTGGTAGAAAGAGAATATTTATTTCAATTAATGAAGCAGGCTTGCAGACATTTTGGGTAAGGTCTTAAATGCTGTGAACTGAAATGAAATCTCGCAATCTGAATATCCGTAATAATATAATTAATAATGCAATATAATTCCTATCTCTAACGTAGAGAAACGAATTGAAATCAATAATGTAATGTGATATAATTAAGGCCTTTTGTTGGCACTTCTGAACCCGCTTTTCAGATCACCTTTTAATGTAGTAGTTTGAGATGCATATTGGGGTCAGTGCTGGGAGTGAAGTGGGGGGGAAAGACTCCAATGTAAGGGAACCATTTTGGCAATTTTGGTAAGCGCCTGTTCTCTCCGCAAAGGCTGGGGAACCGCTGACCAGAGAAAAGGTGGCGTTGCCCAGCAAAAGCACATTGTGAGCGAGGATAGTAAGAACAGCTCACGCCCGACTCACGTTCCCGCTTGCTCCACCTCCAGATCCTGAGCGGATCCGGCAAGAGTATAATAAAGGCAGGGTTAAGCCGATCGAGTTGGGTGTGACCACGTTTGGCCGCGCCTACTTTCCCTGCAAATCCTCTTGCGCGGCGCTGATCTAAGGAGGAGGCGGCGGCGGCGGCGGCGGCGGCCTCTGGGTGAGAACTTACCTCGCTGAGCATCGGGCTGAGTGGGCGAGGCTGGTCCCAGGGTAGGGGCTGGGGTGAAGGCATCTCGGCCTTTGATGGGAAAGCTCAGGAGGGAAGTTCTGGCGTTGGGAGAGCAGGGTGGATCTTGGGGTGGGGTCTTCGCTGAGGCCCTGCGAGGGTTTCTTCGCGTGGATTGCGTGGAAGGTGCTGCTTGCACGGGAGGAGGCGAGGCCCTATGGGCTGCGTTGGAGAAAGGGTTGCGGGGCAAGGCATCCTGGTGGAGTTCACCCGCTCAGGTCATACGAGGCAGTGCTGTGAAAGGGTCTTGCACTCCAGACTGTATAGCGATAGGATGTGGGACACTATTTAGGATTATGCGTGCGCAGTGGGGGGGAATTACTGCACCAGGGTACGAGGCAAGGGTAGTGGTGTGCAGAAGAGACTAAAGATTCACTCCAAGAAATCTGTTGTGTCCAGGCTTCTCAAGTCTTTCAAACATGCGGTCCTTTACTCATCCTGAGTAACAATATACCATCCTATTGTATCTATCTGGATGATGATGGCTGCATGGGACATGCTTTTCATTCAGTACTTCCCTTCACTTAAACATATGTTCTTTGCTTCTTGGCTCTCTTTTGAAGGGCATTTTGAAGATGCTTCCTAACTATTGTAATCAGCAAAAGGAAGGAGTGAGTCAGTGGCCCATGCTACATTTTCCCAGGTTAGCATCCTGGGCTGCATTCTTACTGGAAAGTTTCTTCAGTTGATGAATAAAACCATCCCAATTTTTCAGGAATAACACAATGTCAAACTGTTTAATTAGGGAAAAGCTCTTAATTAGAAAGGATTTTTTTTGCCTGTAACCTTCCCTTATCCCCTCCCCCAATATAATGGTGGACATAGAACTGTTCCTAATTATTTCGTAGAATATAGGAGATAAGACTTTTTTTAACGACAGATGATCTCTTTGTTTCATATTCTACTTACTTTAAAACCTTTCATTATTGAGTCAATAAAGGAAGTGGAAAACCCTGATGAAAATAATGAATCTGGAAGTACAGCTAGCAGCCTATTAATCTCTTGAGATGTTGGGCGTGTCAATGCCACACATGCTTAACTCTGCATAGGATCAAGTTGTTAAGAAGCAGTGTGTTCACTTCTTAATTTACAGTGATGCTGCCAGCTATGAAAGAAATTACATCTTTCTCTTCCTCTACCTCCCCCATTCAAAACCAATAAATAATTCATATTGGCTCAGTGGTGGCCATAAAGTATGGATCACATATCAT